ATTATTCTTAAGGTTTTGAACTATTTTATACTTTTCCCCTAGAAAATAATCAGGCAGATTACTATTCAAGATGATCCTGTACAGTATACAGAAGCATGCCTGGGCTGAGACTGATTTTCTACAGCTGATATTCAGTGATATCAAAAATAAAAAGTATAAAATGATATAATTCAAGCATGAAACAAATCTTGCGGGAGATATTCTACCCATTTTATGGTGACCTGATGACATGTCATAGAACATTATTATTCTTACTATTTCAAAATAAAATTGTGTAAGAAGAATTGTTACAAAATGGACATCCATGGATAGGGCGTTCCCCTAGAATGAAAGAGAGTATTTCCAACTGAACTTGGAGATATCATGGATTGGACCTGAGACCTTCTATATAACAAAATCATGTGCAATCCCTGATACCTCAGTGTAAGGCTGGAAAACATTCTCTTCTGAAATTTGAAAAACTTCTACTGATCCAAGTTGACGGTATTAACTTAGATCAGTAATTCTCAACCTTGGCAACTTTAAGATGTGTGGACTTCAATTCCCAGAATTCCTCAGCCAGTTTGAAGCTCACCCATCTTAAAGTTTCTAAGGTTAAGAAATATTAGTACAGATAGATAAATGGACCAATTTATTAAAAGGCAACAACCTGAGTTGGACACACTTGTACACAATCATACACACACACAGCTATTTCCAATAAACTCATGTTTATTATTCAAATCCCCAACTACAATTTCTTTTTAATATATCTAGGGGGGCGGGGGTGGTTGCTTTTTTGTTTCTGTTTTGCATTGTATTGTATTATATTACTTTGCTACATTAAATTTTCCACACAGTTCTGCTGTTCAACAATTGTTACGGTTCTTTATCCTCTGAATGACATGGAGATTTCTGCTCAACAATTGCTTAGTTGATAAACTCAAGATGAGTAGCATTCAACAATTACTTCCTCTGGGTCTGACAATCAACCTGGAGAATATCGAGACCTGTCAAGCATTTTACTTGTGTTTATTTAAACCTAGAGATAACTTCTTTGTGTGCATCAATTCAGTATTCCAAAAATGTAGGTAAGTGAAATTGTGGCTTTTTGCCAGAATAGAAAGCAGTAAGGTAGGATTGAGGTAACAATAAATAAGAAAACCCTTCCTATAGAGAGGTTATTAACATGATACAATCCATACTAAGCTTTCTTACTGGGATGCCCGCTTCAGTTCCTGGGTTACAGTTAAGAATTATCTCTGCCAACAGTTTAGGAGAAGATAAGTAGACTTCAAAGTTTTGGCTGCCATGAATTTTATTCAAAGTCATAAGTAATGTATATTTTTTGACAACAGCACACAATCAAGTGGGTTGTAGTTCACAGAGGCTTACAGCTTTTAATACCATCCTTTAGCCTGAAAAGACATTATAGGTAGTCCTTAATTATAACTCGTTGTTTAATAACCATTCAAAGTTACAATGGCTCTGATATAAAATGACCTGGTACCATTTCTCACACTTATGACCATTGCAGCATCTTCATGGTTACGTGATCAAAATTTGGATGCTTGGCAANTTTCCAGCTTCTTTTTCCTGTTCAGGGCAACAAAAGAAGATCAGAGGCAGAGGGAGCAAGGCAGGGGCAGGGCCCTTTGCCGGTTCTCCAAATTACTCAAAATTTCCACTACCGGTTCTCCAGAACCTGTCAGAACTGGCTGAATACCCCCACACCTCTGCTTCTTACTCAGGTGCATGTAGCTTTCTTTGCATTTTCAGGGCAAAGAATGCAGGATAACAAAGTTAGAAAATAACTTTTTTTTTCTTTTTGGCAGAGCCTCTTGTAGAGCTTACAGTATGGAACAAAACCTCTTTTCCTTCCTCTCCTTGAGAAGACTGAAGTTTGCTCACATTTCATTTTGCCAAAGAAGAACGGGCAGTTACGACACTAGGTTAGTCAGGACCCTTTTTCCAATGAATGGAAGCCGAGATAACAAAAGGTTCTGCTTCAAAAATGTGGCTCATTCTCAAAAGCAGATTCATAAAAGGTTAGAGTATTAGATATGCCGCAAGGAGTCCATGGTTCAAATTTACATTCAGCTACATAAGCTGATTCACTGGATGGAAGACCAGGCATTGTATCTTTAGTATGAGCTTTTCTTGAGGCAAGGATGTCCAAAGGTGGTCAAAAAAGTCAAGATGGCAATAAAGCCATGCAGAAGCCATGCCTTTCTTTATTGCACTAAGTTCCTGTTTAAAGCTAAAATATACTTAATCTCCTATTAAATCTTTTATCTGCTTTGATGCCTCACAATAAATGGGGGAGGAGAATGCAACCCAGGTCCATTTGGGCCTCTGAATAGTAGGCAAATTATAAATCCAATCAAATATTTGTTCCGCCATTATTTCATTCCCATTGACAGTGAAGTTAGGCAGCTGAGGATCTTGAGAAATATAGAAGAAAGGAAGCAGTATCAACCTCAATGGAAATGGAGCAGGGAAAATGGCAGAGAGACAGAGAAAAATACAAATAAACTAATAGAAGTGATGGCTTGGGGTGGAACTGCAGTTTCTGCCTGAAAAATGGATTTATTCCTTGGATCTACTCCTGAATAGCAATTGTAGTCAAGGTCATGTCTCCACCAGTGACTTATAATAATTTTTCAGTGCCTTCGTGCCATTATAATGCAACCATTGAATTGCTATAAAACATGTCCACATTGCTGTCTTTTTGGCACAATAATAATTGGATAACTTTAAATATGCTGTAAGTTCCTGGTAAAGAAATGAAATTCAGACAGGAAGCTAGATGTGCCTCTTTGGGATAGGAGGAATTTGTCATCCACGCTCTGCTAACTTCCAGATTAAAGTGCTGCATTGAACTCTATCCAGAAGGTAACCCAAGCTATTTCAAGTGAATGATGTGGCATCTCTTGCAGAGTCTGATGCTTCTGCTTCTCTTTTCCATGTCATATTTTAGCAGAGAATTAGCAAGACCAAAAAGAAAGAGTGCTTCTGACCATATACAAAATGCCTTCAAAGGGGATTTTTGTGCATCACATACACCGAATCAAATATTACTGGCCCTTGCCAAGCAACTTTTATCATTACAGCTTATCATTCTAAGCTAATTTGTGTGGCTGTGGACAAACAAAATTAGAAGTAGGTCCAGCACTATGGACCATACTTTCCACGATTGTTCCCCCTTTCCTGAAGTTCTTTGCCACATTTAACTTTCAGCAAAGTCAAGAGATGGGCTCCTTCACATAACCAGGGCTCCAGGCCAGGCGCAAACCCAAATTTTGAAGGCCCTGTAAAAAGCCAGCAATCAGGGTTAGTCTGGTCTTGGAAGGAACATTTCAAAGGCTGGGAGACATGGCAGAAAAGGGTCTCTTTCTGGGACCACCAGCTGACAGTCTTTAGCCCATGGAGTTCAACCTTGGCATCTTCAAGACTTGTGGACTTCAACTCCCAGAATTCCCTAGCCAGCTACTCTGAGAGTTGAAGCCCACAAGGCTTAAAGTTGCCAGTGTTGGACACAATGGGACCCAGTTTTGCCCATCCTGCTGGGCCAGGTAGAATGAGTAGATACAGTTGGGGAGAGACATTTCTGTAATTTACTGTCTCACACCATAGAGGGATTTAACGATAAAAAGCAGCACCTTGAATTGCACCCAGAAGCACATAAGAAGCCGGGGCAGCTAAGGAAGCAACGTCACCTGCCAAGTAACTAATGCCGTTAACTGCTTGCAGTGCTGTATTCTGTACCAGCTGAAGCTTCCAAATGCTCTTAAAGGGCAGCCCCATGAAGAACACACTGCAATACTTCAATCTGGAGTCATAAGCCCACAATCCAGCAATAGGCAGAGCTAATACACAACAAAAAGGTAGTTGTGTAGACATGGCTGCCATCTTATTCCAGCAGGAGCCATGAGTCTGGGATGACCTCCAGATTTCACCTCAGATCTGTTTGGGGAAATATTTCCCCATCCAGAACAAAATATGGAAGGAAAGTCCAAAGAACTGGGAGATCCAAAATTCAAAGCCACTCAGGCTTGCTTGGATTGCACCCCATCCAGAATCCCACACCTCCAGGCATTAAAACAGAACCTACATGCCCTATGGCACTCCACAAAGTATCTTGGACCCACTCTAAAGTGTACCTGACACTTAATGGAGCCCTTGACCCAATGAATGTTGGCAACGCAGGCCAAAAGAACCAGCTCTGATCAGGATGTGGCTTATGTTATCCAGAATCACATTAGTGATGAAGAAAATGTCATTTTGTATATAACAAATTAAGAAGTTCCCTACATTCTTAGAGAGATTTTGAGATAGAGGGAACCTGCAGGAAGTTTTGTGATAGGTCTCCTCTGCACATGTGGTAAAAGGAGGGTTTTGGTGAAATACTATATACAGTATATCAGAATACTACAGGACAACTTCAAACATCTCTCCTCATCTTAGGCATTGGTGAGTATTCCAGGAAAGTATCATATGCATTACATTTTGCATATAAATTATTAAAAAGTCATGAGTAACCATATTGCAAGAAGAAATATGCATACAATCTGGAGCAATTAATCTAGCAAGTCAAATGGACAAGTCTTGAATCATCTGGGGCCTTACTTCTATTAATCTGAATGAGCCTGGTTCTTTTTCCCCCCAGGACTCGATTTGATGATTATGAATCTAAAGTATTATTCTGCATTCATGTCATTGCAACAGAGATGAAATGAAGAGATTCAACCAACTGGGGCAGATTTTGCATATATGTGTGTATGTATTAATAACTCTTAAAATCCTCACAGAATGCATTATTTTAATTTGCAAAACATTTAAATATTTTATTTTCATATAAAAACATGCATACTATGTACATTTTAATAACCCCCTTTACATCTGTTTTTTCCAAAATTATGGTGGCAAAAGGCAGTGACAGTATATCAATAATTGTTAACATTTTAGAATAGTCAATTCCCCCAAAAGGGCATCTCAGCCAGTCGGAAAATGACTGATGTTAGTGCTGCGTTGTAGTTCAAAACCTGCTTATTGGAAATCAATTTCAACAAAATCTGAAGAACGCCTTTCAAGTGTATGGTGGACAAAGTGCCTAAGCAGAAGAACTCTGTAATGAATTCAAAAGGCACATATGGTTAAGTTCAATTCTAAGTGCCAATAGATTTGTGTGGAAGATCACATTCTCAGCCTACTGAGAAACATTGGTGACCATTGAAGAGGGTCGCTTAAGAATTGATTCAACAGAAAATGGTAATGGTTCATTTGTTGATAATTTTGTTACAACTTGTTTAGTGTCCAGAAAGTCTTTTGCATATCTGTCAATGCTGAATTTGTACTTTTGGTTTTCTCTGAAGGTACACTCTCTATATTTCTTGGATGCCTCATCAAAACTGGTTTTTAACTCTGATCCTGATTTGCTATGAAGCGTCTGCTGGAATAATGAATGGAATGGGCTATATTTGGATGAGGGTGGCAGTAGCAGATGCTGCTTGTTGCTTTCTTTGTTGATCTTGTTGAGAGGCGGGTCCTGATGAACTGTAGGATCTTTGCCAGAAATCTGTGAAAAGGTCCTCTTAGGAGATGAAAATGCTGACCTCTCATGAGCCTCCCGAGAGATGTTTTGGAGTTCGTTTTGCGGTGTCTCAAGTTCCCGAACATGAGGATGGTGCAATGTGTTCTCATTTTTTGACAATGTGATGTCATGTTCAGAGGTGGGAAAATCCTGGCCATGGGAAGCTTTATTGTCCCAAGCTACTCCAGGTTTAAGAGACTGGACTGTAGTAGCGTTTAGAAGGCATTGCTGATAGAGAAGGGCATCATTGAGAGGGCCACATTTTGGCCACACCAAGAATCTGGAGGGTAAAGGATATTGCCTGTAGGTAGTGGCCACACTCAAATTTGATGAGATCAGTTCCATGTTTCCTGAGCCTGAATACTGCATAGTCAGATCTAAGCAGGTAGGCAGAAAACCACAAAACTCCTTACTGGAAGCTTCAAGTTGATGAGGGTTAAAACTTTTATAAGAATTGTACTCGGGCCCATGTACCATCCGGTTTGGCAGGAAGAAAGCGGCAGCCTGGGTGGCTTCCATCATTTCTCGTTCCTTATATTCCCGTTCAAGCATTATGTTCTCAAGTTCTTTGTCAGCAAAAGCCCGTCTTTTTCTCATTCTGTCGCTAACAGGAGGTGGCAAGGATGAATTCCCTCCAAGGTAAGGTTCTGCTGGAATGGGGCGATAACCTTGGAGGGGAGAAAATAATTGTTTTAATAACTAGAAAAGTGTAAAAAGAGCAAAATGATAAGAGAGCTAATGTACTGTAAAAGAACATGGTCTTTCCCTGCCCGAACACTGATGACCTTGAAGATAATGTTTTAGAATATGGCACTTCGGTTACACAGTGCTTTCTTACCCTTAACAGGTAACTTCAAATTTGAGGAATAAGAACCTGAATGATTTCCCCCCTTTATTCTGCCTCTCAGTTGACACTGAAAGCAAAACTTGCTAATCACCTACCAAGGTTTATGATCAACCTTTGCATCAGATGTTTAGACGTCTATTTATAGATGTACAAGTTGTCCTTTTGATAAGATGCAAAAAAAGTGCAAGGAGCATAGTGATTTTTGCCTCCAACTACTAATTACTTTCACCACATCCAATGAAGCATCACCATTCATCACAATGAAGCATCACAATAATAATTAGCCCATAAATCAGTTTCATACCCCCATTTCACTACATTAACGTTTCTTTATCATGATACTTATCAAATGATTTTGAAAGATCTCTATACCTACAACTGATGCATTTCTATTCTCTAAAGGTGAACCACTACGTACACAGAGGTAAAGATAAAATCCAAGGAGTACTAGGAGAAAAGAGAAAGAAAGTTAAGACAAATCAGAAAAGATAGCATGAAGCATAAGAATGTTTCTACTCCTACAAGGAAAGTATCCTTGCAAGAATGTAGAAACTGAACCAAAAGAAAAAGAAGAAATATAAAGAAATCACTTTGTATAGTTAGATGACAGACCTATTTCGTTTAGCTGGAAATCAAGCTTAAGTAAAGCCAATGGATTTTACTCTCCAAAATTATGGTATTTGCAGCTCTGACTTACGGTTCTCATTTCACATAAAATAAATGTTATCAGCCACAGCCACCATTCAAAAAAACATAGGATTCAAACTGCATATAAAAATAGAAGTTGGGATCTATTTATTGAATCATTTTGAGTAAATGGTGATGAGTTGAAAACAATATTCTGAATTTCTGAGATGTCTTGAAAACTGAAAAAAGCAACTAGTCTGAAAACTTTCAGAAGCTCATTCCTTACAGATTCTGAATTTTATTCCTTGTGGTCATTATGCTTGCTTTACACGCAGTAATAATACCATCTCTTCCTTAAGTTCACCAATGATCATTCTCTTTGAGATATCTTTAGTGTCAACCCATAAACCTAAAAATTGAACTGTCCTTCAAATCTGTCCACATCTTAGTATTTTCTGGTGATTAGAAAAAAGCAAAGAATTTTTTAAAAATCATTTTATACCCATGGTAGTGTGTTACCAATACTGGGGAAAGGTGTAAAGAAAAACTGGGGAGATTCTTATAGCATGGCCTACAACTCTTGATTAATATCCCACTAATGACATCATGAGAGGTGTAACTCAAGTATTTATTTGCTCAGAAATAAGTACTGCTTGTCAGCATGACAAAGAATAATAAACTTTCACAACAGCAAATTTATGAAATTTCAGAAATTTTGACTAGATCAGATATCTATTTTGGAAGAAGGCAAGGGCAAACAATTTCCATATTATTGTTTAGAAAAATAAGGACAGATAAATGAAGTCACCAGGAATCAAAGTCAACTCATAGGAAATTTTAATAACTGATTTTGTAAGGTTCAGTTTACAACAACAGAACAGTTCTATGGTGAACATTACTTCTCAGATATAGTATATGCCTTATTGAGTTCAGTGAGACATAATCCCAAATAAGTTTATAGCAGGGGAGAATTTCCTATTATACACACATTTCCACAGGGCCATTAAGCATAATTGCTCAAAACCATGAATAATGTAATGGGATTTTCACCCAAATAAAACATTTATATATGGTATAAAGCTGCAGTGCAAGATGTCACTAGCTTGAATAGAAATGGATTGTTTCTATTACTAGTGGATTGCTTCTATTACTAAATTAATTTTCTCAACACTAGACTTTAGATTTACTAAATCTGTATTAAATACTAAAGATAATAAAATAATAGGATTACTGTACTTAGGAAGCAAAAGAACTCCACTATGAATACTTTCAAAAAGGTAATACTATTCAATTATAATTAACTATTTTAATATATAATTTTCCTAGGATACGTTATATATGCTTTTGACAGAGAAATACTAATTTAACTTCTCAAAATATCACTTTATCTTTTTAATCAGCAATTATTTGAATACAGATTGAAAAAAATGAAGAGAAAGTTGGAATTAAAAAGAATTTGTTCACTGCAACTACTCTATATTTTATTTTTCCTAATTTAATCTGACTATTCCTTTTAAGAGATGGAAAGGGAATTTCCATATGATATTAGCTATTTTTAAAATCCTCAAATAACAAGGTATGTAGACTGTGTACTTCTTCGCATAATCTAATCTAGTCCTTAACATAGTTGCCAGAAATTATAATTCAGTTACTGGCTATAACACTGTTACCAATTCATTTCTAAGAAAGCATCTTCTATTTTTATAACAGAATTAAAGTGCACAAATCACAATCTAATTAAGATGATTTTGTTCAAAGGCTACTGAGATTTGTAGTGAACCAGGGTCCATGAGCGTTTACAATTGTCTAATTTTCTTAGTCTTTTTAGTATCAAACTGACAGACGTAAGATGTTTATATATTAACAAACTAGTCAAAAATAATTCTGAAATTATATAAAGACAGGCAACTTCAAAGTGCTAAGAATTATTACCTTCTAAAATGCTTTTAGCCAACAAACTAGGCGTCCGAATATGTCTCTGGTACACTGTTCTGCGCTCAAAATTAGCCTGTTTCCCCGTATGTCCCTTCTTATCCTAGTAGAGAAACATGGAGGGGAAAAAGAAGTCAGAGAAACTATAAATTATATATACTCATATTATTCCCAGCAGCATCAATTTCTGAGGTTGCAGTTTTAGAAAAAAAAGCCAATACTCTTCATATTCCCTGAATTAAGAGACTAGAAAGAGACTGGGGTTTCACCACATTTTTAAACCAATTTAGCAGCTGCATTTATATCTCTTCATAAGTTTTGTTTAGCCATTTGACTATAGTTCAATACACTATGCAAACTCAGAAAATGGGTTAATTAATCAAGTTAAACATATTCTCATTTTAATGGAATTCCTTGACTTTAAATATATTAGGAATTTAACTTCTAAACAATTGGCTCAAAGTTTTAAACAAGTTATACTGTATAGTTTTATTCCAAGCTCCCAAATATAGACAGCAGCCAATAGCAAAGGAGAAATATAATTAATTCTTTCAATCAAATCAAATATATTAAATATCTTTAGCTTTGGCTAAAATATGCAAAATACATTTTGATTTTGATTAGGAATGATTAGGAAGAAATTGCCAAAATGCATACCATACCATACTATGCGGTTGAAAAAGTAAAATGCATTTTCTAACATATTTTATACTACTTGTTTAAAAGGAAAACATTAAAAGTGTGATACAGTCCCTTAAACACTATGACAGAAACGTTCCTTTAACAAAAACTCTTGGTCTAAATTAAAATTGACTTTATATGCGGTTGAAATCCATATGTGTTTTCTTTTTAAAACCTTAGCTTCTGATATCTTAAGTCTTAAAGCTGAGGAAATAATAGAAAGAAAAGACTGTCTGGGGAAATGTCTATTTGGGTATATTTGTTACAGTCTGGATTTAATGTGTCCCACTAGCAAATTGTAAGACCTTATATTCAATGCTTTCAGGAAGCCAGGGAAAACAGGTAAATCGGAAGAGAGGTTGCAACTCAAGCTGAGAATAAATTCCATTGGAATTCGGAATCTACTCTTCCACAAAAATCCAAATTAAAATACTTGACTGCTAAATCAGTCTCACAAAACTGTTAGGTTAGGCCAACTAACAGCATCGGCACCTTGTAGCCAGTTTAAATCCAAGCAGTCAGTTGAGGCCCATTAAAATAAATGTATTTTTATTATTTTATTTTTGTATTATTCTATTATTTTTCCTTTGGGAAGGAAAAAGGTGCTCCAGTCCAGTTCCAGAAAGCGATTATTATTACTGAAGCCTCTCTGGTCCTGGAGGATTCCCTGTCCCAACGCAGCTGCCCGCACCGTCCCGGGGCGGCGCCTCAGAGAGTCGTTGGGGGCTTCGCACTTGTCCCTTCATCAAAAAAGAAACCGGTTCGATTCCGCGACCGCCGCCCTCAGGCCCACCGACACCTTTTCCTCGAAAGATCAGCTCCCCCCGGCTCAAACCCGGCCAACGTCTGGGGGCACCTGAAAATCCACGGACCAGGAACGAGCAAAACCTCCGAGAAAAAGCCGCCTTCACGGGCGAGGGTAGCATGCGCGGGCGGGCCCCTTAAGAAAACGCTCCGCCTCCCAGACCAGGTTTTTTTTTCCCGCGGAGGGAAAACAAGACAGGAGAGGATGGGGGTGACGGGAGAGCCTCGCCCGGAGAGCGGAGGGCGGAATCCTCCCGGGGAAGCCAAGAAGAGCCTGTCTCCCAGGGACAGGAGGACGGGCGAGGCCGGCCCTTACCTCGGTGGCCTGCTGCCTGCGAAGCGCCACCTGGGCGGCCATGACGCGCTGCCGCTCCACCACCAGCAGGCAGTTGGCACACTGGCAGTCCCGCCAGCGGCAGAAGCGCTTGTGGCCTTTCAGGCAGGACACCACGCCGTGGTTGCGGCAGCGCGCGCACTTGGGTGTGCGGCTAAGCTTGCGGACCGGCTGCTCCCCGCCGCCTACGCCACCTTCCTCCGCCGACGGCGACGGCGAGACAAGCTGCGGCTGAGGCAGCCCAGGCAACCGGAGAAGGCAACCGCCTGCTGCCCCGGCTTCCTCTTCGTCTTCTTCGCCGTCATCGTCGTCGTCACCCTGGTTGTCGTCTTCCTCGTCGTCGTCTCCAGCGGCCTGTAAGGAAGGCGCACGCGGCGGCTGCTCGGGCTCTTCCAGGCTCTCCACGTCGATTTCCCAGGCGTCGACGGCGGGGCCCACCTGCTGCCCCTCAGCCATGGCTCGCGCCCCGCGGCTCCCGCCTTCTCCTCCAGCTCGCTTCCTGCACGAGAGAAAGAGGGAGGGAGGGGGGGAAGAGGCGCGGCGGCCTCGCATTAGAGCCGCGATCTGGCCTGCCTGCCCCTCCCGCCCATCTCCAGCCGCCTGCCTTTTCCTCGCCAAATTGACGAGGCTACTTGGCCTAGACCCGTCGGGGTGGGGGGAATGGAAATCGGCAAGGGCCACTGCTGATTTAAGTATCCGCGGAGAGTGGGGCGGAACGCACTCCACTTCTCGGGGACTTAACCCGGAGGAAGGGTCTCCTTGGGGGAGGGGGGTTGGAAGGCTGGTGAGGGGAAGACGGGAGGTTTTCCTTAGTTTTCCTGCCATGCTTGGACAAATTGTACCCACGCCGCGAAGATGGGATTTCGATTCCTTCGCTCGGACGCCGGCCGTCCCCCTCCCCCCCCCCCGCGCCCCAGCAGCGCTCAAGGCCCGAGTGTGGCGGAGGCTTTACAAATGAAAACGCGACGCTTCTTGACTCTCCCTCGCTCCAGATGGAAAAGCGGGAGAGGGGGGTGGGTGCCTTGGATTTGCAACTCCTACCATCCCAAATGAGGACCGCGATGGGAATTGTAGTGAGATACGTTCAGAAAGAAGGTAGCGGGGTTGGGCAATAAAGCTGGCAATTCTCTAGAAAGGCTTCCCTGCAAACGCGATGCTTCTGCCCTGCTCACCTCCACCCTTATTGCCCAGGAAGGTTTAGTGCGCCTTCAAGGAACAAGGCCAGATGAAATGCAGGGGAAGAAAAAAAATCGCAATTGGGTTTAATCCGGCGTTTTTTTTTAAAAAAAAAAGAAGTGCGCCTTTTTATTTTTATAGTGATCTAGTTTTCATAGGGCACTCTGTTTATTAAATAGGGTTTAGTGAATAAATCATAACTGGCTGCGGTCACAAAATATGTTAAAAATCTCCTTATAGCTTGGCATGATATGGAAAGCTCACCCACCATCATTGCATTTCCCGTCTCTATCCCTGTGGTAATAAAGACGCTTCATAGAGTGTGGGGTCAATAAGGTGTGTTCTACTCTGCTGTCAAATAGAGGGAAGGAAAGGATGAGGCACAATTTTAAGATCAGACCAGAGCTGTCTTTAGTGAAAGGTGAGAAAGTCCCCCTTCCATTAACCAGAAAGATTGTGGCCAGATTCATGTCTCTCTATGAACTCAAGAGAGTTTAGAGCTTTGCTGTCTCCCCCTTGTGAAAAAGGTAAGCATTGGTCTTAATTCACACATCTTTATGGTGTGCATTTGCTTTCCTTTTAGCCTGACATATGAATGTATTTACTGTAGTTTAATGTTATGCAGGAATATTCTAGGTCTTATAAAGTGGCTTTATAAGTGAATTAAACACAACTGTCATTTTCATGCAAGGCATTCAACAATAAGTAAAACTAAGCAAATGATTTTATTTGGATGTGTGGCCCATACTATACCAAGATATTTCCTAAGCCTATCCAAAAACACCTTTTAAAAACTTCTGAGAGAGATCTATATCAACCTGAAAGCAATATAAAGTTGGGCTTCATTGCAGGTTTTTTTAGCACATTAGTCGATACTATAAATTGCCATAGATTAAGAAATGTCAAAAGCCCAACATGCAAGGTGGGGTGGGGGCTGTCTCCAAACAAGCCATGATTGCAGGATATTCTCTAGTAATCTGAGTCTAGAAATTCAGAATTTGCATTACTGTGGGCCATAAGGCTGGCTTTGGGAGATTTAATTTTAAAAATTCCACTTAAGACAATTCTGACTTGCTAGGATCTTCTGTACATATTCTCTTTGTTTCCATTGTATGTCTCATATTTTTAAATATATATTTGGATATAATGTTCATAGTTCCTGCACCTAGAGAAAGGTATCCCCTTCCTTTAAAATGCAGGTCAGAAAAATAGCAAATATGAAGTTGTCTGTTTAAAGCTTCAATCCTAGTTGGTTATCTAGAAATGTAATTTTCTGGAAGTATAACCCTATGGCTGCTTATGATTGCATATTTCCCTTCAAGTACAAATAAAATAAATAAAACCAGATAAATTTGACTAGAAGCATGAGTAAAATTCCACAATAACTTTGTTGACTCGTTCTCACCACACACTAAGTCCAGTGCATACAAGCTACATTATGGCTTTGGGAAATCTGAGTCTAACCAATGCATCCATGATTTGTTGGCTGGTGAATTACTTTGGCATCAAACCTTATTTCTATTCTAGTGTATATCAATACAGAATGATAAATAATAAAGGAGAATGGATTTAGCCGAAGACGTAATTCATCTTTATTACTTAGGTTACATGTAAATGTAAACTATACCTTATACATTCCTCACAGCAAAAGTACTTTAGCCAGAGGTTTGTGTCAGGAGCATGACCTTCATTGTTTTCTTTTAACCACTGAAAGCTTTTTTTGTGCCATTTTCCAGTCTAAAGATCAGTTGACCCATAGGAACACCCTGTTCCTCTCTTCAAAAGAGATTACTTGGGTCACTGAATACAGCACAGGGGGTCTCAGGATGCTCTATCGATGTGGACGTTCAATTTGCTTGCATGCAAACTAGACACAGGTAACTAGAAAACACTTGTGTCTTGCCCTTTGGATTAGGTTTGACAGGAGTTGTAATCCAACTGGTCAAGGTGGCTGAATGTATGGCTTATTACACAGCCTTATTTGCCTGTAGGGATCTTCCATGTTTGCAAAACCGCTACCTTTCAGAATAAGTGTCCTGTATTAAGTACGGCCTTAGTGCTAAAAGTAAAGTTACATTTCGATTCTGGGCAATAAAATGCTGTTGTTGTTTTTTTAATCCCTCGGCGTTTTAGTGCTGGTTTTAAATGCAAGGGCGTCCCAAAGCGACTAGAATTCACCGGCATTTCCTTTTTAGTGGACTCTGGGTCTCTTCCACTGCCCTGACAATATTCTCAGACCCTGGAAAGAGGGTAGAAGAGGAGACCGTTAAGGCCCCCGCCTGCAAGGTGCCCATACAAGACTGAGGGGACTTCTCAGGGGAAAGTCTCCTCTCCTCTCCCGTTCCTGCTTCGCGTAACCTCCCCGCTCCCGGGCTCTCCAGCCCCCGACCTCTCCAGAGCTACTCACCACAACCAAGCGTCCGAGAGGGCTGCAGAGGCGCGCAATAATGGCATTCAGTCCCGTCCGGTGCCCGGACCTGGCGAAGGCGGAGCGCGCCGAGAGTCGGCTAGAGGCGAAGTGACTTCAGCCTGCCCAAAGCCTCGCCCCGTCTCCTGCCGCCTCTGAGCCGTGGATCGGGGCGATTCCTCTAGAGGGGACCCACAGAAGCAGCCCAACCCCGCAAACGCAGGAGCTCAGGGCGTAGAGGAAGGCAAAGCTCGCCAGCGGCAGCAACCACAACGCCTGCCTGTTTCTAGACTCTGGACGTCCCTCCCTATATGATCGGTCCCAGGACGCAAACACCCGCCCGATCGACCCACCAATTGGTGAGTGGTTGAGCCCAAGGCTCGCAGATTGGCTGCGAGGAAATTCCAGATGTCCCCACCTCTTCGACGCTCCGCCTCTTCGGAGGTTCTTGCCAGCGTCTCGGCAGCTGTTCCCCCCCCCCAACCATCCGCTTGGCGAGATCACCTTTTATTTACCAGCCTCCGCAGAAAAAATGAGTTATGTGTAAAAGACTATGTTGGTAACCCAAGACCGAAAAGAAAGTTAACAGCTACGAAAGCAGACCTGCGGGGATAAATATTGTTGCGGAGGCAACCGTGTTCCTTATGAGTAAAAAAAAAAAGAGCTAAATACATCTTCCCTAACCATAAATCCTCTAGAATGGGTCTAAATTCCCCGAAAATCGGTTGTGATATCGCCGAGGGATCTAAAGAGGATTCTTTGACATTTGCTATTATTCTGCGGTTATAAACTTCAGAAATAATATTATGTTCTATATCTTACTGCAATAAATCCCTTTATTTTTCTTTTGTAAAAAAAAACATGCTCTCGGATATACTTAAATCCAACTAAACCTTATTAAACTATCCTTACTTTCCATCATCCTTGGATTATTAGCGGCAACCGAAATACCCTTCCGTTAGGCGAAATTTAGGTGGAAATAATAGAAATTGTATTTCCGCTAAAACTTATACAAGTGGTACGCAAAAACGATTGTGTTAAACGGATCTTAATCCCAGGCAAATCCACTCAGTCTGAATGCCACCCAAAATTTACTGTGAGGAAAGTAATAATTTATGAAAGAAAATGACTTGCTGTGTCCCTTTTCACTTTTCTTGCTACTTCAAGGGTTATTTCATTAGTATTTCGTTTAGCAAACACGAGACCGATTTCAAGTGTATTAAATTTCCGCCTATCAATTCGTCTTCATGGAAGAGAGGAGATATTGGAAGAAAACCGCCTCATTCTGGCTGTGAGTTATAGGAATTGCCTTAATCGAGCCATTTAGAAGAAATCAACCTTGCCAAGAGTTGTTATGAACAAATTATACATAAAATAGTCTTATGACAAAAATAAAACGATGTTTTCTATCAGCAAAATTATAGTCTTTTTTCCCAGAGAGTTTTATTCCCACAACACATGAGTTGTTTATATTCCTTTATGCATTTATGTCTATTTTTCTAGGGTCATATATACATGCAAACAAACGCCAGGGAAACTTCGCCTAAACTCAGCTACTCGATATAATCTTTCTAGTTTATGGAACAAACATTTTCCGATCGGTATGTTAACTGCGCAATTGACCCTCTGGAGAGGCTTGTGCGTTGAGATTTTTTAATATACCTTTTTCTGTTAACAGTGTCAACAGGAGGCAAGGTCCGTTTTTCCCGGTATAAACCACGCATGTATATATATATATTTGCTACAATCTGCCCTAGGCAACTACGCAAGGCTCGGACTAGTGAAAACCCGTTTTTTGAAAAACTGGACAAGGATTACACAAACCTTGTTTTCTGGTCGTTTAATTAAAAAATTGATGGCTCTGAAGTTCCTTGCCTCCTTTATCAATTGTCCTCAATTTGAGACCTTCCAGATGTTGGGCTGCAATTCTCAGTGTCTGGGACTCATGGGCACTGTTGGTCAAAACATCCGGAGGGCCTAGGATCAGAGGAGGCTGACTTGGAATTACCTAGAAAAGATGGCAAGGAAAGTTCACAGGATGCTATAAGTAACTAGTAGGGAAGTTATTGGAGGAATTCCTGTATATATATATATATAGAAAGGCAGAACTAGATCGCTGTGGATCGACGCAGGTGTCTCCACCAACCATAGACTCAAGAGCACCCGGGAGCCCTTCGCTGACATGACGTCACAATACTAATCCCCCTTCGGAAAAAGACCGCAGCCTCCTGCCTTTTTTGCCCTTGTCTTCTTGCATCGCTTTCGCCGGACGGGGCGTGCCTAACCCTGGACACAAAGTAAATCCCACCACCACCTCCTTGTTGTAACCCATCATTCTCCCAAAGTGCAGAGCTAAATGTCTATGGAGATTATCAGTCATCCAGGTGATGGTTGTCCCAAAGGTGCTTTTTCAAGAGGCAACTGGACTTTCTGGTTTTTCTTTGAAGAGACATTTCGCTTCTCATCCAAGAAGCTTCTTGGATGGTATCAGAGCTGAAGACACTTCTGGGATCAGAAACGAAACGCCTTCAAAGAAAAACTAGAAAGACCAGTTGCCTCTTGAAAAAGCACCTTCGAGTCATAATTCTCCCGTTACATTCTTCCGGAGGGAGCGAGCTTTATCCTCCGTTTATTGTACCAAGAGCTTCCCGACGGTCAGCATCTTCGACTTGACAGAGAAAGCGTCCCGGCAGTGTCTTCCCCGGGTTCAAGTTGCACTAATCCTCCCAAAAATGTGCCATGAATGGGGTTCTCCTTCCTCTCTTCCCTCCCCCCATCCCACGCCCGCCAATTGCTCGGCGTCTGCCCTTCTGTTGCTAAAGCACCTGTAGAGAAGGATGCAAAAGGTCGAGGCTGGGCCAGGGTGTCTCTTTCCCCCTCCCTTCTCTCCCCCCCCCCACACCCCAGTCGCTCTTTTCTCCTTCCCAATCCTTTTCGTCTCTTTTTCCAGCCGCCTCCCGCCATCGCCCGTTTTGTAAACGATTGAACAAGCGACAAGACGGAGAGGGGGTGGAGGAAGGGAGAAATCTGTGTGTAACCCAAAACGAAGTGGCAAGGGAGACGTAGCGGATGGAAAGGAAAACGAGGTTGTTCCATAAATACAAAACAAACACAGTAAAAAGACAGCGATCCCCGGCCTAGATTGACTTTAAATAATGATTATCTCGAAGCGAAAACAGGCGTTTTGTGTACTATAAACGCCTCGCCCAGCGGCTTCCACCCGCGGAGGCCAGCCCAGCAAAGAGAAGCCGGTCTCCGGATGGATCCCTCTGCTTTTCGGACCAAAGCTGAACAAAAGGGCTGCCGAGCGGGATGTCCGTACAGGGTGCTCAAAAAAAGTCAAAATGGCGGCCGCGACGGCGCATCGGATCCCTTCCCGCTTTTTTAAAACGGGCGGAGCCCCAATGGTAGCCTTCGGGTGGCCATCTTGACTTTTTTGACCGCGGACCTTCTTGCTCGTGGTTTTCTCGTCCAGCAACTTCTCCGCGCGACAAAGTGGGACAAGGGGCTCCTTGAAACCACGCCGGAGAACCGAGGGCCAAAATGCGGCTCGACGTTCGCCCAGGCCGCTGCTTAAACGAGCGACAGACCCGAGAGCTTGGAGCGATACTGGGCGCGCCGTGAAGGTTCCACGGATCTCCAGGAGGAGGCTTCGGGAACCGCCGATCCGCTCTCATCCAGGCGCAGGGAGAGGCCGCTGGGCTATTCGGGGGGCTTGGCTGCCTCTCGGTCAGGCTGACGTTTGAGAGACGGAATCCCGCCTTGGTCACAATCGACCCCTTTGGGATCCAGTTCGGTCCCTTGGGCAGAAACTGCTTTAAATCTGGATGAGTCCCGGCGACTGGAACGGGTCCCCGTTTTAATCTCTGCTTGAGATCTTCGAAACCCGCGAATTACTCCTTCGTGGCGAAGTGAAACGCGTCCTGCTATGAAATAGCGTGTCAGAGCATCATTTGTGCTCAAGCTGACACGGAACTGGAGGGCTTGCCACCATCCATACAGCCCACCTCACCCTGGCTTTTTATCAGATGCCCGCCCGTCCCTCGGGCCGTTAAGCATCTCCCTCCCCCGTCCCTTAACTTGCTTTCCAGTGCTGTATTTCTAAGTGTAATAGAAATTATTCTCCTGGACCTGTACCACTTCAGATATTGGGAACAGGAGCAGACTTTCACGGGGAAAGCTATAGCAACATAGAAAATCAGCCTTAGCCTACCGATAGAAAATCAGCCTTAGCCCACTTTAAGGGTCTATATACGGCTGCCAAATGTGATAGAATCAGAACTTGAGTGGAATTTCCCTGGGACAGATTAAACACAATAAGATCACACCTTATACCAGAAGTATAGATAATGGGATGCAGGTTTGATCAGCGAATGAAGGGACCAAATGTCATTTAAATATACAAAAACCCCAAAGCTACTGCCAAAAGTTGGCAAATTTTTAAAGCAGAAACTGAAAAAGGAAGGAGGGAGCTTGAGCAATGCTAATGTAATTATTTATACCTATCCAGGAACCGCGTGGCAATTCATTCTGAAAAGTTTTAAAAGCTACTCTACATGCAAACAAGAAAGCAATTAAAAGCAAACTATATTGTATTGACATCAAAAAGAAACTTGACTGGAAATGATTGATTCTCGGGGGGGGGGGGAACAGACCTTGTATTCATCATGTAAAAGAGGAGGATGGAGGGGCAATATGCAACTGCAGGATACTACAAAAATTAAGATTCATATTTTCTCAATGTGCCCTGGGTGGTCCCCCCCCCCCGAGACACTTCTCTCAGATGACATTGTACAACATGCAGAAAAGATGATAAACATTGAACCAGAGCTGCATAAAATTTAACATGGAGACTGAGCTTTAAAAAGTATGTCCCTATGTTCCGAGTCTACCCAATACAGTTCAAGGCCTTACTAGCAAGATTTCATATGGACTGCTCAATGCCCAAAAGTATATACCCTACTTTTCCAGAACTATGAACTTTCATACAATTAAAATGTATATTTGCATGTCTAATGTCCAAGTAAGAGTAGCATAAAGATATTTCTTGTCTTTTTCACACAGTTATATTAATTGTTTTTTTTTAATTGTTAAAATGTTTTTATTTTCCATTTTTCATTTTCATACAGTCACATATATACTGTGCATA